ATGACACTGTATACTTTTTTATAACAAAATTCAGAAAACAATATTAGTATTCCAATATTAGTGATTACGTAAATGATCACACGCTTTGAATGAATTGATCGCTTCAGGTTTTTCAAGTGGATCTTAATATCTTAATACATTGTAAACATGTTTCTTTTTCAAATAGGTAATGGATTAAAAAATAGATGTAGTCGAGTTTCTTTCGCCGGTTCTTCTCAGGTCTGTGGCTTTTTTAGAACCGGTCGTATCGTTTTGACAATCAATAAGTAAGTGTTATGCTAATTAATAATTCTCTATGGAAAAGGATGTTTGAATTTGAACAGCAATCTGATTGAAAGCCTATTTGTTAGGAACTCATTTTAAAGAGATTTAAAAAAGATTTTAAACGTCATCCTTAATTAAACACGAATACAATCAACAGCTTTCGATATCACTTGTATGGAATATATTATTACGTCAATTATATCTATATTAATATTAAAAATAAATAATTAGGGCATATTGAGACGTGGAAACAGAATAATGAGAGTTTGTGAGAAAGTCGAGGGTGTCATCCGGAATGACAATATCTGTAATTGAGATTTTTTCGCCATTTGCGAGATAATTTATTCTTGATGAGCTAATTAATTTATTTTTCTTATTAAAAACTGTAAGCGAGTATTATCTCAATCGCATTATTTCGTTTTAAAAGTGTATATTTCTACAAAATTAAAAAAATAAAAATCTTTTAGATTCAGATTCATTAATATTTGTTAATGAGTAATCCCGTAAACGAGGGAAAATGAGAAAGAAAGAAAGAAGAGCATAGTGGAGGAGAAGGAAAAAGGACAAAAACCAAATAGAGAGATAGGGAGTGAGAATAAAAAGAGAACAAAGAAACCATTGGCCAGTATAGTTTTAATAAATAGTAGAAATTTTCATTTGAAATGTTGAATACCTGTCAGGTGAGTTCCCTTTAACGTAAACGTTGAGCCAACTTGAAGGCTCCTATAATATTTCAATGTCTACAAATTTGAACGTGTTATGCCTTGAATTGTTATAAAATAGACGTGATCGCCCTGAATAGATGACGTCATAGTTTCCTGATAGTTTGGGATATCGAATTGCGTTTTGGGCATGGGTTTACAGGCATGGAGCCACATTCAGTGACGCTTTATAAACGGTTTGCATGCTTTATAGAATGTTTTATCTATCAATTCAATATGTAGCTTTATGTGTAAAAGTTCTTAAACTCACTCATGTAGTCAAAGATCTATACTCTTAGTGTCCTTGGACTTTTGCTAATTAGAGGATGTGGCATAAACACTCCTTTACATAAAGAGTGTCTTTATATTAAGTCAATAAAAATAATACTACCTCTTATTCCAGGGCCACGTAATAGCTCCTGCTGTTGCAAGAATATCAGATTTATCCAGAAAAGAACCATGGCCTCACAGAACTAGCGTAAAGTGAAAGTTTTCTATTATCATACAATTTTTTTGTATATTATTATTAATATATTTCTGTATATCAACAAATATTTAATTGTATTTTATACAAATACGAGGCAGATATCACACTAGTGCACGGAAGCGGGGGCACTAAAATAACCCCAAATGTGATTACATTGTAACTATATAGACTGCTATCTCTTTTCGTATTATTATATTAAAACATCACTGGGTACACCCTTGTTTAAGGGGCGAGTCGAAAACATTTAAATTGTTACATCAACTTGTGTCATTATCCGTTTTCCCGCGTGCTTTTCGTAGGGCGTCATCTGCGCGGGACGCGATGGTTTACATTTTTCAAATTAAAACGCGGCAAAATTAAGTAAAGGGAAACGCTGAATTTTCGTTCTCGCAAAAACGACGTTGCTCCATGATTCCTTTTCCGTCCGCTCTTGTTGAAATTGCTCCCCTCGCTGGAACCGTATTTGCAGCGGAACTACATGGCAGTAATATCCGAAGTACGCTCGGCGCTCAATATTCTATTTACAAGCATTCACGGGAATAGTTACTTGTTTGATTATTACTTTTTATGTTTATATGTAACTCGGTGATGCAGTTGCTAAGCTATTGGCTTCGGCGCGGTGGTCGTGGGTTCGATTACCGCACGGGACAAATATTTGTGAGACGCACAGATTGTTGTTCCGGATCTCGGAGTTTCGTTTTCTTTTATTTTTTTTTTAAACATTGCCCTCACTTTAGGATAACATTATCCTGTGTTGTAAGGACGTTTTTACAAACATAAATTTCACTCGGACAAACACCCAGATACGGAACAACTATCTGTGGTTCGCACAAATAGTTTTCGCGTTGGGAATCGTACCGACGACCTATGGCCGAAACCAAGAACTTAGCAACTGCACCACGAAGTCATAAGCCCCTTTAGAGTCGTTACTATTCCTGTTAACATTTCAAAACTTTTTAGTAGATACAGAATCTATGATGGCCCTCTTGGCACTTGACCAATTTCTATCTAAATTTTCCACATAAGGGTCCATCCGAAATTTGCACAGTTAGCCAGCGATATTCAATGCAGTCTGTGCCCAATTACATCTGTAACCACAAGTTCTATATGAGATGCGAGTGTATTTATTTTGCAATGGTTTTTGTAACAGAAACATATTTATCATTGCGTTTCGCAATAGAGAACATTCTTAATAAATATTAACAACAAATAAAACTTTATAAACAAACAGACATTAAAGATCGATTCAATCGAGAATTGTATTAGCAGCAGAAATTCAATTATGCGAAACCAAAATCTTGGTTCACTTCGTCTATTAACTTCAAAGTCAGTTAAATTTATTTAATAAACTGCAAGACAAAGACCGGCCGAGTTTGGAGTTCACTTTATGTGTCACTTCACCCTGTTATTGTTATACAACGAGTGGCAAATAATTGTGCACGTAAATATATTAACAATGGAAATTAATTGAATAGTGCCGTCGAGGCTAGTTCGAATGAGAGAGTTTACTTATTTCAGATTCTTAGATAAGAAAAACTATTTAGAATGTTGAGTTTCGTTTTTTCGAAAAATAGTCGAAAAATTCCCGTCGCTGACGCTTTAACTAAGTAAGCCAAGTGACCGATGTTTCCATGGAACGTAATTCTCTACATCTATCTGGGTTCTTTATTGCATTTTCGTTATTGCACGACGTTGCTAATGTCACTTTTGCAATTTTTCGTCATGAATTTCATCGCGAGTGCAAAGATGAGATAGAAAAAGAAACAATTTGGTGGACTTGAGACCCTATGATTGATCTTAATTGTTGGAAGTAACAAAACGTAGTAATGGAAAACAACAGATATTTCTTTACTTCTTTACTTACATGAGATCCCTTAGTGGCTAGAGAGTCAGAGCGCGAATACCGAAGACGTGGATTCGATTCCCATAGCGGCGAGAAACTTTTTGTTGCTTTTTTCTACAAAGTTTGATATCAGAGATCCCTTCAAAGCTATTGTACAGATATATGTTACATAATACTTAATGAAATTTGATGTTATAATTTCAATGTATCGCAATTTTCTACAGGATATTAATAACTATTTGTATCATAAAACAGCAAATAAACTTTTTATGCAATAAAAAGTTTATATGAAAATCATGGGAGCTGAGATATTCTTCTCTCGCTAAAATGTTATTTTTTATTTAACCAATTTAAAATATCAGCCTTACGTATAATTAATATTGGCCTGCAGTGTACGTTGCATAAACCAATTATTCGGAAATCCCTTGACAGTAACAGTCCTTGCATCCCATATTGCTACAGTGTAAATTGTTGAGTAATCACAGTTAATTTGGCATTTCAAGTTATTTTTTGTTGCACTTAAATTTACTCATATTTTCTAAGAACTATGTTATTTATTTCGACCACCCGATTGGTGTAGTTGGTAGCGATCCTGCCCCTTTGTGTTAGAGGGTGTGGGTTCGACCCCACTACTGGATAAATATTGTGTGATGAACATAGTGTTTTTTCAGTTTCTGGGTATATATATATATATAATTATATATAAATACACATTCAATACGTAAGCATATATAATATGTATTTATTTAAAAAAGAAAAGTATGTTTATCAGTTATCTAGTACACATAGTACAAGCATTGCTTAGTTTTGGGACTAGGGAACATTGTGTAAAAATGTGTCATAAAATATTATTTAATCTTTATTGCCAACCATAAATAAGGCAGGTAACAAATGGCGGACTTAATGCCCAAAGGCATACAATATTTTTTAATATAAAAACGGGTGGTTGTAATAACAAGAATACTTTATTTAAACTTATCGACGTCAAGTACCTTTGTATTAATAATTTTATAGTAACGTTTGCAAATCGAGTGATGAAAAAATTGTATAATAACTGGCAGAATAGTGACCGTATTTTGCCAATTTTTGTCTGTAACATGGTGATTTGGTAATCTGAATTTTCTTATTTTTAGGCGCTGCAAGATTCGAATCCACTTAAATAAAATGCCGAGGAAAGATATCGCTTTTGCTATTGAAATTTACGAGTAAAGAAACTAGCACTGAAAAATAAAATCAATCATAAATTATTTAGTCATTGTAGGAAAATCGAAAAATAAAAATACTAGTTGATTCTTGCGTTATTTCTTTGTTCCTTGTTTTACTAACCAAATGGTATTAGTATCTTGATCATTTACCGAATGGTAATAAAATAATGTGTAAACAAGTGTTTATAAATGAAGGGTGTGTTATACAACAATAGCGGTAAAATTCAGTATACTTCGCTATCTTTTATTTAAACCAATTCGTCAATTGTGTGAGTTATCATACATTCTTTATAAGAATGTTTACAACTCCGTTTGTAAAAAAATGTTCATGAAAAAATCAAAAACTCTTTTCCATTCGTCTATCATTCTTAATAGCGCCAAGTGCTTTAAAATGGAAAGATTTAGACAAATCAATGATTTGCTATGGCGTTACGACAAAGAAACACGGCCGAGGAAGAGAGCCACCACGACGAATATATACGCACGCAAAAATCACCCACCTGCATGTTGCATATCTTGTATCTGACAGGCTCGCCGCGACAACCCGCAGGCGACGAGCACGTGCGAAGCTGTCGCGACACACCGCCGTCGCAGGTGCGAGAGCAAAGCGACCACTCGCTCCACTGCGACCAACCGACGCGCTCCTGTGGAGTAATTAACACGTCAACAACATTAAAATTTGTAGAAAATGTACGAAAAGATTTATTTATTTACTTAAAAACTTTTTGCACATACAACGTACAATGGCGGTCTTAACACCATTAGGTGTTCTCTACCAGTCAACCGGCAAATAAGTAGAGAGAATAAGGAGGTGCGAAAGAGCCACATGGGAAGTAATGGAAATATGAATTTATATAAAATATTACATATAAAGAAAGATTGTCGCCGCTTTGGGAATCGAATCCGCGTGTTCGGCATTCGATTTAACCACTAAGCCAAACGGCTGATTGACACGGCAACGAAAATCCTAACGTCTTTTATCCGTATTGTTTTTTAAGCATTTGAAGCAATGCTTGGCGCATCCATTGGTGTGGCAAGCATTGTTTCAAATGCTAAAAAACAATGCAGATAAAAATTTAAATTTCCACGTTATTAACGCGTTATCACCAGCAGCCAGAAGAAGTCCTTGTATCCTTGTATTAACTGATGTTAACGCTTTTAGTCCCGAGACTATTTAAGCTTCATCGGACGTAGAACCGCAACGCACGCATGTGCTCATGCGTGCGTTGGCTGGGTGCCAGAAGACGACGTTGATCAAAGGTCGCGCTTGTCGTTGTCTTCAAGTTCCTGCTCGCTTTCGAGACCTTTTGTTAACATGTTAACATGTGATCACCATCACACCTTACCACTTAGAAGTGAAAATATTGGTTGCGATTGAATTGGGTAATTTTATTGCATGCCATCATAACACGAACACTCTGTACGTATTACGTTTTATTACATAAATCAGGTTTACAATATTGGTATGTTTCAGAACTATGGCGTAGATTCGAGGAATTTAATTTAATGTCAATGCGCTTAAACATGACAGTATCAAACAACGAACATTTGTCAAACTAAAGATGAAATTACTCATGTTTTAATAGCCTATATTAGTATTATAATATAAAAGTTATATTAGTATTATAATATGGTTGGTAGTTCGTCAAAGATTAGACAGCTAATTGGCAGTCAGCTGTGCATACTTCTTTTTGTTTTGTGACAGGCAAAACAATTCTCGAATGTTCTGCAACCGAGATTTCCGTCTACGGTCTGGTCTCCTGTTACCTTGCAATCAATAACCAACCCTAAATCATTGGATAAGTAAAGTGGAAATAGCGTTTTTCAGGACGGACAAACTATACCCACAAATCTCTTGACTGGATCTCGAATGCGTCGGAGGAACGGATAAGCGGGTTATCGATTGAACGTTAAATCCGCCGGGGCAATTACATATTCCGGTCAGTGTTATGCAAAGTCCGCACGTGCCCGAAATCTGCGCGTCTTTGTTACGGAACTTTCTGGATATAAATATGTCCCCCGCTGCATACATGGCGATTTGTACGTGACGGTGCGGTGCTGGAGGCCGTGTGTTGTTCTTTGTGCAATTAGGGCATGGCCACGCTTCGACAATGACTGTACCCGCATCGCCGCTGGAAATGCGCGTCGGAGCTTTATTCAATTATACGGGAACTTGTCGAAGGATTCTCGTAATGCTATCGTTAGCAATATTGAGTATCACATTTATGGATTTTTCCGCGATGGATTTTGAAAGAATCCTCAATGTGTCCTGTGATAAATACGGTACGAGTATATGTAATATGCGCATGAATTTTTCCTGATAGATTTTTGAAAGAATTCTTACTATTTCTTTTACTTTACTTTTACTTCTTACTTTCTTCTTATTTCTTCTATGTTATCCATATACTCCATATGGAAGAATGGCATAAACGTGCATGCAATCAGCCTCATTTTAAATTAGATTTTTTTTATGGTGAAAATGGGCAAACGAGTAGGAGGCTCACCTGATGGTAAGTGATTACCGTCGCCCATGAACACCTGCAACACCCGAGGGCTCACAAATGCGTTGCCGGCCTTTTAAGAAAGAGTACGCTCTCTTCTTGAAGGTTCCCAGGTCGTAACGGGTCGTAAAGACCGCCGGCGACAGTTTGTTCCACAGAGTGGTTGTGCGAGGCAAGAAATGCCTTGAAAATCGCGCTGGACATCGAGGTGGTGTGGATGAAATTGAATCTTGTATTGATTTTGTTTTACTTTATTGTTCGTGCGTACTACAGGGGCGAGTGGAAAGGTCCGTCCGGGGAAGTACCACGACCTCACAGAAGGCCGGCGTGAAGTGGAAGTGTACTTCTGCGTTTCGTGTTGGTTAGTGAGGTAGCCGGGGCCCACTTTATTAAAAAGTTGCAATGCATCTGTAGCCTACTGGGTGTTGCAAATGTCCATAAGCGGCAGTTATTACTTAATATCAGGTGAACCGCCAGTTCGCTTGCCACATTCTCACATTAAAAATACACACTTTTTACCAACAATTTTCTCTTTTGTTTTTCTCATATTTTTAGTTGCATTTTTATTCATCATCATCATCATCATCATTTCAGCCTGTTTGCGTCCACTACTGAACATAGGCCTCCCCCACAGACTGCCATGAAGCACGATCCTGAGCCACCTGCATCCACCGACTTCCCGCACATTTGCACAGGTCGTCACTTCATCTAGTGGGGGGTCGTCCTACACTGCGATGGCCAGTACGAGGCTACCACTCGCGAACCTTTCTTCCCCAACGGTTCTACGAGCTATATGGCCGGCCCATCGCCACTTCAGCTTGCTAATCCTCTGAGATATCGGTTATCTTGGTTCTACTGCGGATGTCTTCGTTACGAACTCTATCACGCATTTTTATTATGTGCGTCCTTTTTAGTGGTAAGTAAATATAATGTTCTTGATTCTTTCTTCTTTCTCATAATATAATTTACCACCGGATAAACATTACAATACACACCGGATAAGTAATTATCGAACCGGATAGGTGCCTTGCTAACCTTCAAGAGATTTTCGCCCGGTTTCTGAAACACTGATAATTCTGATCAATTCAAAGAGTTTAAACCCATCGTTTTGACTGACAACTCAAATGACATTCGAAAAGCCATTTCACAGCTGATTAATTAATTTCTACGATGATAAGTCTTTCAGAAACCGGGCGTTAGGAGAGTAATTTGACTCAGTCAACTTATTGTATTTAACAAATTGTGGCTACGCAATTTCCCCGGTATATTGAAGCAACGGCATCTGCTATTGCAGTCAGTAGTTCAAGTATAGAATTTCAATATTGCCCTCCAATAGTCTTTTTTCCATTTACGTCGTATCAGAGTTGCAAGTTTTCTCATATATTCGTACTTTATATTGTCATTTATCGATAGTAATTTTAATATATCTCACAGAAAGATATTATCCTGACGCCAGATAGTTAAAATGTTTTTTTTTAATGTTATCTCTTTCTTGGTATTAAATACATTCTTATTCAACTAATATATCAATCAACAAAGTCAATCTTAATTTTTAAAGAGATTCTGTCAACATGAACCTAATAGACATCAATACGTTACTTGTCGAACTACTACGCAAAGGCCTCCTATGGATATAGGGTGTAATGGTACTAGTTCACCACGAACCACTATTAATTGCATTTTTTTTATGAAAAAACATTGCCCTTACTTTAGGACTACATTATCCTGTGTTGTAAGGACGTTTTACAAACATTTTCCCTTCAAAACATTGAAATATTAAACATCCATTTTTTGGAAATAGCTTGGGAGCGATTAACTCATTCCCAGGGGTTATTATTATTTTATAAAGTTTTTCTTTTATAATTATCTTAAAACTGTTAATAGAAAGCTTTGCACATTTACCGGGATTTTGTTGTACAAGGGTATATCCTGCTCATATTTACTCTATGGAACGAGTTATTTACTCTATGGAGTCTAGTAACTGGTAACTGGTAACTGGTAAAATGAATAAAAAATGTTACCTTTTTTGCTCCGCCTAATTGTATCGCAAGCGGCCAGCTGGAAAATTGCCTAAGTGTTCTCTAGTTGGCTTTTTACAAGTTACAGCAAGGAGTAATCACACTAGTGCAGAGAGAAATGAATTGACTGCAGTGCGATTCTGTGTTCTGTACCGTCTGCAGGAAATTAGGTGCGCTCGGAAAGATGGTCATCATCAAGTATACGTAATGTTTTGTTCTAAAACCCGGAACACATACATTTTAAATGGTAAAAATGTCCTTAAGTCTCTTGTCGCGTCCTTATGCCTGGTTCAAATATGTAGATGGGTTAATGAACCTTTGTACATATACGAAATTCTTTAGTGCATGCAAATATGCATATCGAGAATAAGGTGGCGCATCCAGCTACATTGATAAAGATCGTAATCGGTGAAGTAACGAATGAACAATTTAAAAAAAATAACATTAAAAAAAATTATCGATTAACATTTGGTAACATGGCAGCTCCTCGTAAAATCTATCAAAGCGCCATTCATCAATAGAACCAATCACATTGCCGTTAAAGTTTAAGCATCGTTAAACGTCACAGTTTTTCGATTTCAAACGAATAAAAAGACGACGTAAAAGAGCTATGATGTTTGCTACGCAGATTCCAACAGACAAAGTAACGCAAGGGAAAATATATACGCGAGATACATCATCCGAACGTAGATTTACGAACAATATACATTTTTTTTAAAACATTGCCCTAACTTCAGGATAACATTACCCTGTGTTGTAAGGACGTTTTACAGACATAAATTTCACGCGGACAAACACCCAAATCCGAAACAACTGTCTGTGGGTAGGACAAATAGTTGTCCCGTGTGGGAATCGAATCCACGACCCTCGACGCCGAAGCCAATAACTTGGCAACTGCGCCACGGAGTCATCGAATATGATATACATACATACATACGTTGGAAGTATTTAAAATCAAATCAAAATTTCTTTACCTGAAGTAAGATTTATTAAGTACTAAGATAAGTTCTGCAAAGTTAAGTAACAAGATAACATATAATTATAATATATAATTCCAATTAAGTAAGATTAGATTATATGCTAATAGTAAAATAATATTTTTTATTAAGTAAACCTATTGAAATA